AAGAAATAAGTAACCTTAGAGGCTAATTATAACTGAGTCATAATCTCAAAATTTGGAATTGCAATTGAAATTAAATCTAGCACTTGAATATAAATGTAGCAGGTAAAATAGAGTCCAATCCAAATGAGATAGTAATGTGGAACATAAAATACGTGTCCCAAACGAAAACGGAAAGCACTGAATAATCTTACAAGTTAGTTATAACTAAGACTTATAATCTTGAAATTTAGAAAATGCATTTGAATTTTGAAAGTTATCAAGATAGATTATTTTTCCTAAGCCAAATGATTTTGTGTTTCTGTAGGAGCCAACAATATATTTATTCCTGCAGGTAAAAATCATGTTTGTCGTATTTTTAGGACTCCAAATTTTGGAGATGTCTCTACTACTAGCTATAGATTATTCAAAAAGAAAAAAAGAAAAAAGGAAAAAAGGAAAAATTCAAACGCATAATTATTATGCTTAAAAAAGAAAAAGAAAAAGAAAAAAAATACAATAAGACCATTTATCTTTGACTATGGAATGTGACATTAGACTGCTATATTTATTTCATGGACCCAAGCTCAAACTTCAAAAGAAATCTTCTGGAACTTTGTGACATACCCAAGCTATTAGAATTCACATCATGTGGTTGTAAGTAACTGTGATTTCCTTGTATCAAGGTAAATGATATCATTATATACAATCCCCGAGAGAGAGGAAAAAAAAAAAAAAAAAAAGTCACAAAGTTGAACTCCAATTTATGGATAGCAAGATCTAGGTGTTAAAGAGCTCAAAATCTATTTTTTTTTCCCCCTTAAAATCTGATGATCCTCCATATTTTCAGATCCAAAAAATCCTTCTAAAGTGCATTTTTTACTCAAGGTAGAAATGAACAATTTGCTTCCATAGGAGCATACTATACCCCTGCACTACTTGGGTTTCTCTCTCTAGGTTGGCCTTTCAGTTGAGTGTTAGGGCAAGAAGTATTTAGAGAGAGAAAAAAGAGTCAAAATTAAGGCAAAGGCAAACTAAACCTAACCAAACACTAACTTGGTCGCTTGCCCTGGGCCTTAGGCATAGGGTGTGAGAGCGAGAGAGAGAGGACATATCGGACCAAATAACAAGTTTACTAAATCTCAGCTGTACACGTGGCATGTGCATTTGTCTTTCCACACGTTTGTGCTAGTTTCAGATACACTGAACTTAGTCTCGAGTCTAGACCTTTGAACCCATCTTGACGAAAATTTCATTGAAATTCGCTGAGATTTTGCATTCCTTCTCGCGAGTTGCAACATTTGATGAAATTTCATTGAAAACGACTGCAATCCAAAATTTCGTTGAAACGTTTCGAATTTTCATGGCTTCCAAAATCGCAACATGTGGTTTTGTTATGAATTTGTTGCAATTTGAGTTAGTTTTTTTGGGAATACACAAGTTTTCGTTCTAACCCATTTTGTCTAACCTTAAACTTGGATCCTTTATTTCACTGAATTTCACCAAAATTTTGGTTCCTCTCTCTCTCTCTCTCTCTTCATCTAGTCAAACAAAAAGCCAACCATATATTTCGTTGTGATTCACTAAAAATTAGCAACCCTCCCACCAAAAGATCCCCAACGAAATTTTATACAATGCCTAAGTTTTGCGGGTTTGACTCGACACTACCTTAATCGAATCGGAACTGGACAGCTCGCATGATGTTGTTCCCAACTCGGCCAATCCTAGTCTGTCATTCTTCTTTTTAAAAAGCCATACACTCAATGTGGCCAAAACAATATCTATCAAAAGATCTCCAACGAAATTTTATAGTGGCATATAATGTCCTAGTTTTGCTGGTTTGGCTTGACACCACCTGAATCGAATCAGAACTAGCGGATTGCTGACATGGTTTTATACCCAACTTGGGGCTCAACAAAAAAGATCTCAAATCTATGTTAAAAAATATTTTTATCATCTTCAACATGGTTTTTTTCTAATTATTTGAGGTCGGCTATACGAATCATGGTCTGCCATTCTGTACTCTCAAGGGTCATATACTTAACAAAGCCATAAGTACCTTTTTTTTTTTCTACTTCAAACCATGCCCTTTTGGGCTGAACCTTTTTCCTTTTTGAGCTTTCCACTTGAGCTAACTCGCACTTCCTAATACAGTTGCTGTATTGAGTTTGTGTTGCACATGTCCAACCCTACCTATGTCTACTTTCTCTCATCTCATCACCTACTGGAACTGCACCTAGGTTCTCTCAAATGTGCCAGCCCTACCTATGTCTACTTTCTTTCATCTCATCACCTATTGGAACTGCTGCACCTAGGTTCTCTCAAATGTGTTCATTTTGAGTCTTATCCCTTCTTGTATTACTACTAATTCATCTCAATATCCTCACCGTAGCTACACTCATCCTATAAATATGTTGTTTCTTGACCGCTTAATATTATACCCCATAAAGCAAAACCGGTCTCACAGCTGACCTATAGAACTTACCCTTTAGCTTCATTGGTAGGCGGTGATCATATAAATATTTGGTTACACATCTCCACTTCGCCTACCCAGCTCTAATTCTATATGCGATATCTTCCTTAAACCCTTTATTTTTCTGGTATTTTTCGGTTGACAATCTTAACTACTTCATCGTCTTTATTCTTATTACTAAACTTGCATTTTATATACTTTGTCTTAATTTGACTAATTTTAAAATCTTTATATTTTATAGTAACCCTCATAAGATTTAAGATTCTTGAACTTCATTAGAAAGATTTGAATTTTATATATTGGGATTGTCTATAAAGAGACCATTTAGTTTTTGTATATAGAGGTCACAATCATTATTATCCCTTAAATTTTAAAATGGGTGGTTGTAAGAGTATGTTGAATAGATACAAAGTTCCAAAACAATAATTATCGGACTTCGTGACTCACCCTAAGCTATCTAATTTGACATTTAATAAGTGAGAATGATTGTGACCTCCATAGGCAAAAGATAAATAGTCTCTTTGTAGACAATCCCTTACATATTTTGTTTAGTTCTTTTTGTTTTTTTTTCCTCACAGACTTGGAACGGGTAAGTGATCAGTTGCACTAGTGCTTTAAAACCCATCGATTTTCATTCTGGATCGCTGATATGAATGGAAAATAATCAAGATTATACTGGTTCCAAGATGGTACGGGTCCCGGCTCGATTCCCCACCTGAAAGCCCCAATATATATATATATATATAAATTTATGTAATATTTTAAGTCCCTTCTAAATCCCTACCTCATAAACGTCTATCTTAATTGTTTTATTTTTTTCATCTATCTTTCAATAATTTTTGAATTACCAATTCGCACCTATCTAGACTAAATCCAAATGGTTAATCTAATGATCTGATTCAGATCTACGGTGAATAATCTACCCCATTGATCCGAGGTTTGAAACACTGGTTTTACGCGGACTGATGACATACAAAATTTTATCTCCAAAGAAATCCAACCCACAATTTTTTTATTTCTATTTTTATGTTTTTATTTTTTGGATAATTCAATGGGAGTGGCGAACCTCTATCCATTTTTTAAATTGTTAACGGTTTTTGAAGGCTTTAGGTGGGAATAGAAGCCCCCATTCTCTAACCAACATGACCCCATTCTCTTACCGAAAGTTTCGTTGAAATTCACTGATGACCCAACGAGATCCAACCCGAAATTTCACTGATGACCCAACGAAATCCAACCCGAAATTTCACTGAAAATAGCTGAAGTCCCAACTCCTTAGCATGGGCACAGCCCAGTGGTGTCCACATCTCCTTCTCACGTGTGATTTGGAAGTCAAAGGAAAGCAGTGATGGAGAGAAAGGCTCAGTTAAAGGTTTGAGCGCAAAAGGTGTGGCTCTTGACACGTGTGAGGTCAGTAGTGGGCCCGGACAAATTCCGGCTTGTGCCTCGCTGGACCGCCAAAATCTCTAGAGACGCGGCCCTACGCTTTCCCTATGAAACCCTCACTAAAACCGTCCACAACAAACTCAAATTAATGAGTGATGGAACCATTATCATCCACATGACATGCTGTAGTACCTATGCATCCACCCAAAAGACCCTATTTTTAATAAAATTAAAATAATATTAAGGATTAAATTAAAAGAAAATGGAATTAAAACTTATAAATACCCACAAAAAATTGTAAATTAATGAAATAGTAACTAGTCATGACATGCTGTAGTACCTATGCATCCACCCAAAAGAGCCTAATTGCAATAAAATTAACTAATATTAAGGATTATATTAAAAGAAAATGGAGTTAAAACTAATAAATACCCACAAAAAATTGTAAATTAATGAAATAGTGGCTAGTCGAACATTAAATAGATACACAACTAAATGAAGTGTTACTTTTTCAATGTTTGCCTTTGATTTTTGAATTTGTTATTTTTTAGCATATTACGAATAGTATATTTTTTTTTTTTGGAGAGGGGGGTGTTTTGGATCTTATGCATATCAAGATCTTGTTGCTACAAATTTTATTTTTAATGTGGTGTTTTTACCGGTTGTTGGTGCCGATAATTTTAAACTGTCTCAAGATCCTCGAGTGTGAGCCAAAGTTTTGCATGATTTTGGGTAGTAATAGAACAGATTTAAAGAAGAAAGTGAGAGAAAGGAATCTCTAGATCCTCTTACTCATGGTGGAAAGAAAAAGAGGGAGAAAAGTCCCCTTTGTTTTATTTACACTCAAATAATATTATATTATATTTTTATATTTTTATTTTTTGGAGTAACACCCCTTCCAAAATAAAAGTTTTACTTTTTAATGTAAAAAGATGTCTTAAGTGGGGTAAATAAAAAAGAAAAGAAAAGAAAAAAAAAGGCAAAAATTGAAAGGACCAACCGACAGATAGGGAGAAGGTTGTGTTTTCTTGGCTTGGAATTGAAGGAAAACTCATGAAAATCAAATCAATGAAATGAATGGAATGGGAATGAAATTGGAATGGAGAATGGGTACCCCCCACCTCCACCTCCACCTCCACCTTGGCAGTTAGAACCGACCCATCATCCTCTCCCCGCAAAACCCTAACACAAAAACACACTCCATTTTCTCCTCCACACACACTCCTCAATAAGCGGCGCCGCCCCTTTTTGCACCACCACCACCTCTCTCTCTAGACAGACTCCTCTCTCTCTACGGCACATCTTGCTCCTAGTTGAAAAAGTCTTCAACTTGCACTCTCTCTCTCCACATGTTAGGCCTTGCCTCACACTATGATTAGTTGACACTCCCCCCATAAATAAAAAACAACACTTTTTGGTCATCCACAACACACCAACACCACAACAATAAAAACACACACATATATATGCTTATAAAAGCTCTTCAGCTCTAGGAGCTTACTTTTTTTTCCTCTCCCTCTCTCTCTCTCTTCTCCTCCACCTTCCTCCTCCTCCTTATTTCCATGGGAGCAACCTCAGTCACATCCAGTGCTTGTGGGAATTGTATGTAGATTCATGGAGGCCTTTCTCTAGCTCATTCTCTCTCTCTCTCTCTCTCTATATATATATATATATTCTCTCTCTTTCTCTCTCTCACAGTCTGAGAGTGCAAAGCCACTCATTCTCTGGCCCCCTAGAGGATGGAAGAGCAGAAAATTGTTAAGCATTTTTGCAGGATTTGCAAGAAAGGATTCGGGTGCGGGCGCGCGCTTGGTGGGCACATGAGGGCGCACGGCGTCTCTGATGAGAACGTGGGGCCCTCTGGCCGCTCTGATGATGAGGACCCATCTGGAGACTGGGCTGGTGGCGGGAGTGGGGTCAAGCGCATGTATGCCCTGCGCACAAATCCAAATCGCTTCAAAAACAGTCGAGTCTGTGAGAATTGTGGTGAAGAATTCACGTCCTGGAAGTTATTCCTGGAGCACGGCCGGTGCGCTTCTGGGGCTGAGTCTCCCGACTCTGGCCAAAAGTATGGGGAGGAGGAGGAGGAGGAGGAGGAGGAGGAGGAGGATGATGAGGAGAGAGAATTCACCAAGATGCCGTTGAATGGGGCAGAGGAGAGGGAATCCACCAAAATGTCTCCTAACGGAAGAGGCGGCAATGGGGAAGGTTGGGGGTGGGGAAAGAGGCTGAGGAGGGCGAGGAATCTGAATTCCCCCAATTGCCCCTCCAGTGAGGAGGAGGACCTCGCGCATTGCCTGGTGATGCTTGCGAGTGCGAAGGTGGACCCACCAACAGCAGACACTGAGTCCTCATGCGCTTCCGCAACTCGAGATGAGGAAGAACCTGATGGATTCCGGCAGCCACCCAGCCGGAATTCAGCTCCTGTTTCCCGAAATCCAGTGCCCGATGGCGTAAGCCGGCCCCCGGGGCTCTTTGAGTGCAAGGCATGCAAGAAGCTCTTCAACTCTCACCAAGCCTTAGGCGGCCACAGGGCTAGCCATAAGAAGGTGAAGGGTTGTTTTGCCAAGGTTGAAGACCAAGAGGAGTCCTTGTTAGAGAGAGAAACAATCACAAAAGATGGGTTCACAGCACCCAGGAAGATGTTTTCTCTCTCTAAGACCCCATCTCTCTCTAACCCCAATTCCTCAACCCCTCAGGCAGCTTCCTCAAGGAAGAGGTCAAAGATACATGAGTGCTCAGAGTGCCATAGGGTTTTCACCTCAGGCCAAGCTTTGGGAGGGCACAAGAGGTGCCACTGGGTCACCTCCAACACAACAGAGCCACCCATGGCTAAGACACAATTGCACCAAGAGAACCCACCTAAGAGGCTTGGCATCGAGAAGGCCACGACACTTGATCTGAACCTCCCCGCTCCAACGGACGACGTAGGTGGGCTCGAGTTCAAGTCCTGGTTTTGTGTGGGTTCAGATGATAAAGGGAGTGCAGTTTTGAGTGTGGAAGATGAGGGAGACAGTACGTTGAAGCTTGGGAAACTTAGTGATTTGAAGGACATGGGGTTGAATGATGGGTCTACTCCTTGGTTGCAGGTGGGGATTGGGTCGAGCAGTAACCCATCAGAGAAAGGCTAGAGAGAGAGAGAGAGAGAGTGAGAGTGCATTGATCTGGTCTGATGAGAGAGAGAGAGAGAGAGAGATCAGATCATGGACTATAACTTGTAATTAAGGGGCTGTAATTACAGATTCAGAAACCCAACTCAAAACTGATTCTTGTTATTCTTTTGTTTTGGGGGGGCATTACTTCATGTTGTATTTATTATATATATATTGGGGTTTCAAAGGAGGCCTTTGCTGAATTGCATATCTTTTCCTGACTGATTTATCAGGAAATTAATTATTTTTTGAATAAAACTGATGACACTTTCATTACAGTTTCAGAAGTTCACTCAAGTTGAATATGAATCCATTGGTTCTTGTAGCCTCCTTCTTCTTGGAAATATTTTTTTGCCTCATTATTTTATGCATTCAATTAGAGCTCTTGAAGAGCCTGTCATGGAGTCAGATATTGGCTTCTAAATTATATGAACCAAACATAAAAATGGGGTTTTGAGAGAGAGAGATGGGTGTACTCAAATTTCTAAAATCTACCAAATAATAGTTACAGGTGTTACTACATAGAAAGAGAGATGGGTGCACTCAAAAATTTTAAAATAAAAAAAATGATAGTTACAGGGTGTTACTACGATCCTATTAATGCGACTATTAGGGGTGGCAACGGGTCGGGTCCAAAGTTGGACCTATACTCATACTGTTGGGTCTCGGGTCAATCTTGTTGAGTCTCGGGTCTGGTCGGGTCTAGTGCTATTTTAACTATGAGGTTTTTTATTTTTATTTTTTATACCATATATCCATATTATTGACAACAAAATTACAATCACCCGTCATTAGATTTCAAATTGTTTGATTTATCATTTAATAGCTAAAGATGACTACAAGTTCTTATTGTATACGATCATTAATATATGCAAATAAAGATGGTTTGAAGTATTTTGTCTCCAACAATTTATAGGCACGGGTCCAGTCCAACCAAACCGAACCCAAACCCGAATAATGTTCGTGTCCAGGTTTTGGACCCAAACCGGATCGACAGGGTCTCAATGTTGGATCGATACCTACACCATGTCGGGTCTACCTTGTGGTCCGTTGCCACTTCTAGCTACTATCACACTATTATTATTTGAAATTGGAATGTAAAAGAGTAGTTCAGAATTTGTTTGGGGGAGTATTTGTTTAATGGGTTGTGTCTTTGTCTTGCTTGTTTACTTGTTTGATACTACTCTCAATGCACTTATCGTTTGTCAAAACCCCAATTATTGCCTCCCACGCACAAACAACCACACCAAATAACAGAAAAGTACCACCCTGTCCCAACTCACCTGCTCAACCTTACTCCACTACACTCACAAGAGAGAGAGAGAGAGAGAGAGAGAGAGAAATCCATGCTTTATGTGTTTAAAGTTGAAAAAAAATGTGATAATTTGTGTGTGTACGAGAGAGAGAGTATCAGTTAGAGAATGGATGGTTTATGTACTTAAAATTGAAAAAAAGTGGTAAATTTGTGTGGGTGTGAGAGAGAGAGCATATTAGTTAGAGAAATGGATGCTTAGGGTACTTCATGGAATTTAGTGGTATATTTAGTGGCATATTTTGTGAGAGAGAGAGATGTGGCATGGTGCTAGTAGGCGTGATATGTGTTATTATTATATAACGGGGTGCGGCATGTGTGATGAAGTAGGAGAAGCTAAACTGGTGGGGCTCACCCACTCTTTTTGTTTTGAGATTCTCTTTTATTAAAAGAAAATGTTTTGATAGCGATGCAGCCCTATCAAAATAAGTAAAGCCTCAGCTCTGAACTCACTTAAAATTAGAGTTTTGGAGTCGAAAAACCTTGAAATTAATCATCTCGGCTTTGACCACTATGATTGTAGAAAAGAATAGAAAAATAGATTTTAAGCTCTAAATATAATGTATATTGTAACATGTTATCTAGACCGTCTATTTAACCCTTAAAAAAAGTGTTCGTAGATCTGTTAGAAATGTACCATTTTTCAATTTCAAATTTTATAGTTATTGTTGGAAATGATTTTAGAACTATAATGGAGATTTCTAGTTGGAAATAGTAAGAAAAGATATGGGAACATGTAGCTTAGTTGAATGTATTGCCCTTAATAGAGCAGAATGACAGACCATGATTTACATAGCCGATCTCAATTAATTGAAAAAAGGTTTTGATGATATTGATAATAGAGATTTTTTAGTATCCACAGTCCTTTATGGATGAGGATCGAGGCTTAAGCTTTTTAGAAATTGCATTGTTTATCATATAAGCAATAATTGTATTAGATTAGGGTCTGGTTAGCACAGGTGGCCAAAGTGTGGTTGTATCCTACGATGGCTTGAAAATCTATTTTTACCTTTCGTGATGAAACTTGAAACTGTAAAATAGTGTGAATTAGGCTGATCGGTACATGCTTGATAGATAATGTATTACAAGATGGGAAAAGTTTATATAGAGCCGAGGCTCTAAAGAACCAAATTCGAGTTTATCTCAAAAATTTCACTTGAAGAGGTTGTTTTGATGCCCAAATATCTTCAAATTGATCATCTCAACATCAAGATGTACGGACATGAGAAACAAATGGATTTCAAGTTTTGAAAAACACGTATTTTGTAATGCATTTTTGGACCGTCAATTTTCAAGATTTTGAAGTTTTCATAGATCTCTCAATTTATACTATTTTTGAAGCTTTAAACTTTATAAATAAAGGTGAAAATATATTTTAAGGCTATAAAAAAGATTTTCAGTATTGAAAATACATTTTTCGACACTATTTGAAGGTAGGCTCTAATTTGATTGTTTAGAGCCTAGGCTCTATACAAACCACACCCTTACAAGATTTACTGTTTCACAGACTGAAATTTATATATATTTTTAGATCTATAATTGTCAAAGTCAAGATGAATGATTTGAACCTTTCTGGTTTTGTAGGTGCAATCTACTTTTTTCACAACGCCGGAGCCTACGAAACTTTTCTATATCATTATTGGATTAGGTTTGGTTTCTAAAATGTTGCAACCTTAAACAATCCATTTAAGGCGCACTTTCAAATTCTATCATAACATACAATTTTGATGTAAAATATTTTAAAGATTATCTGAGAATCTATTTTCATATCTAATTATAAAATTTTAAACTCCAAAAATGATTAAAATCAAGTAAATCAATAAACATATGAAAATCTTGAAAATAGACGGTCTAGATAATCATATATCTCGATATCGAGGTGATCAATTAGAGGGTTTTTCAACATTAAAACAATCTTTTTCAAACTGATTTTTGAAGTGCATCCGTAGTTCTACATTTTAAAAGGTTGCAACCTTATATAAACTTTTCCCTTACTTAAATTAAAAAGGCACGAGCTAACGTTTTTTTATAAATGAACAATTTGTCTAAGCAAAGATCTAGGCGTGTATATGCCGTGTGTTACCTTCCCTTGTGTGCGTGACAACGGTTCGGGTTGGGACCCCAATCCCGAAAAAAGTGCAATTTACCTATGGGTCTTAAAATTTTAGGTAAAATATGAAATGCTCCATTTATATGCGGAAATTACAAAAAAAGTTGGTCAATTCCGTTTTTTTTTTTTTTTTAAAATTACCTTTCTGTCAATTTGAATTTTTATTTTTAGTTCTTTTTATTTTGCCCGTTAGTGGGGTAGTGCTTTAAAGCTTGGGGCACTGCCCTACAAATGATAAAAATAAAAAAAACCAAAAAAAAAGATCAAAATTCCAGTTGACCTAGAGGCAATTTTGAAAAAAATAGATTGACCGATATTTTTTGTAATTTTCGTATATAAGTGGAGCATTTTGCATTTTACCAAAGTTTTTAGGGTCTGCATGTGAATCACTCCCTGAAAAAGTGATACAGGACCCGGACCCCGACCTAGACTTATTCGGACCTGACCCAAAAAAAAAAAACGATATTTAAATATGTATTTCTTAAGGTGGGACCTAAAAAGTATTATCAGACTTGGACCCAAACCCAAATAGTATTTGGGTCCAAGATTTGAACCCGGACCCAATCCATCGGGTCCAATCTTTAAACCCATATCTAGACCCAGGGTCTATCCCTTGGGTCTCGAGTCGGGTCGATCCATTGCCACCGCTACTCATCTGTGGCTTTTTAAGTCCGAAAATCTACACTATACGGCTTGGAAGAGAGAAATGCTTGGGATGCTTGATTTCTTTTTTTTTTTTGTCTGAATTAAAAAACTAAGTGTGAATCATAGTTCTTTTTCTATTCCATATAAAAGTGTTTGTGTTCTAGATACTAGACTGATAATATCCGACAATATAGAGCCTCTGTACTGATAATATGATCAATTACAACCAGCCAAAAGATTTGTACGGTAAACTACTTAACCTAGAAACCCAGAAAGTGCTTAAATGGCACGGACGCCTAGCGTGGCAGGCTGTGATTGAAGTTTTAATTTGGGCAAAAGGCTCTCTTCTGGGTGGCGGAACCTTCTGACAGGCCTCTCGCGCGGTTTAGAGAAGCCCAACTGAGTCAGCTCAGACTCGGCTGAGTTAGCTGGGCTCGGGCAATAGCTGAGCCTAAGGTGTCTCGAATAAAAACGTCCAACTTGAGGATTTTAAAAACTTTCGTTAATAAAATTTAAAACAAATGAGAAATCTATTTGTGATGGCAAGGATTAAGAAGTATTTTGGCCATAAATAGTTATTTTTATATTTTTTTATCTTTTTGAAATTATTTAAAAATAACCCAAGTCACAAATTGATATTCCAAATTTATTTTTTTACTATTTTTTTAAATCTCATTTAGATGTGTATTGCTTGATCTTACTTTAAACATATAGTTCATATTTTTTGAAATTTTTTTTGAAATTTTTTTAACCTTTTTTTGGTTGCTACAACTGACTCATGCCTTTCATTCAAACATGGTTTAGAGAGGTGTTGAATTTTGTTTAGGGGATTTAAGCTTAACACCCGACTTTTGGTTTTGGTTAAGGTTTTCCGCTCCAGCTAAGATTTTTTGGCTGTGATTAAGCCTTTTGACCATTATCTAAGAAAATTTTCTCGGTAGGGTTGTAATGGGTTGGGTCTGGCCGAACCCAAACTTGAATAGTGTTCGGGTCCAAGTTTTGGATGCAGAACCGACCCACCGAGTCCAAATATTGGACTCATACCCGGACTGTGTTAGGTATACCGGCGGATCCCGGATCGGATCCGAGTCCATTGCCACACCTATTTCTCTCCCTCGCCACTCAAGAGCTTCGCCATGTATCATACACGTTCGCCAGCGTTTGAACAACCAAAAAGCTTTTACCAAACTTATGGCATATCCCTCTCTACA